AGCATAAGGTATCTTCAAGGTTTCAGAGTATAAGACAAAAGCATCAAGTTGGGACAGAGTGGTTCTAACTAGCCAACCTCCTCGAAACATCTTTTCAAAATGTGGTTAAGCACGGTACTCAATCTAGATTTTCCAGACTGAATCTATAATTTAGATTCCAAGGCCTGTCATTTGAAAGAGTTGTTATTCTTGAGCATGTGGATGTCAGCTTTCATGAATATATGAGGCCTGTCTACACATTCAATTTTCCAGTGACCTTATAAAATCTGTCCAAGAAACGAATGTTCCTTTTATTCATTTAACAATGTGAAAACCCTTTATGAAATATTTTCATTTGGGTAGCATCCCAACTTGTTAGCTCTAATGACTAAATTGAAGACAAAAGACAAAAAGAAGACTTGATTTGGTTATTATTTCTAGCTAATCTGAATGCATGGTCTTGGTAGATAAGATTTTTGAGGCAATCTCATCTCAAGTTTTCAGGCCCACAGTGGAGTAAGACTGCCAAATGCATAAGACCTATCAGTATTTTCTTGACATGTTTTTGAAGAATACTCCCTAACATAATATTCTCCTTGAAGAATTCTCCTCTGCTATACCTGACAATACTAATACCTATCAATTGCATGACACACTGTGCTTTCCTAAGAATTTCAATTTACTTGAGCCATACTATCCCTATGAGATATAAATACAATATGTGGAATTCCTACTCCCACTTGACAGATGAGCAAATTAAGTCATAGAAGGGACAAATGAATCACTCCAAATTACAGTTCATTCATGGCAGAATCACAGGTACTATAAGTCAGGAGTCTGAGTATTTGGTGTAATAATTATTCCAATCACCAAGAAATCAACTTCAAATATGTTGATGTTAATAGTGAGAGGCTGAGGTAGTAATTAAATCATCACTCCATTAATTTTAAGGATGAATTAAGCTCTATAGTTAATCATTTTCATGGTGGCATACTAAAAGCAAAAATGAGATTAGCTAATAAAATTGAGTCATTCAAGAGATATTTAGTTCAGTGCTTACTATGTGCTAGTTACTGTTCTAGATGCTTAGCATAGATGTATCAGTGAATCAAGCTACAAAACAGGCAAAAATTCCCGACCTCATAGAGCATACATTCTAGCCAAAGGGATAAAAATATGCAATTAATATAATGGTAATAAATAAATAATGGTATATATTAAAAATGCTAGGGAAGCACAAAGAAAAAATGAAACTGGGCAAAGGGGATCAGGATTGCTTATGGCAGACAGGTTGGAGTTTCATTAGGTTTGTCAGGGTTGATCTCACTGAGAGGTTGAGATCCGTAGATATACCAGGGAAAAGGCTCCACAGAGCATCTCAGTGTGTCCAAAAAGTAGGAACGAAGCCAATGTGACTAAAGCAATGTTAGAAAGAGGGAGAGTTGTGTGAGGTGAGGTTAAAGAATGAGTGGGGAGACAAAGCTTGCAGGGCCTTACAGGCCCCCACAAGAAATCCAGCTTTTATTCTGAATGAATAGGACACCATTGCAAGGATCTGAGCAGTTGAGGGGCAGGCTCTGACTTAAATTTTTAAAGGGATCTATTATTAATCATTAAATACCTTAAGTTTTTTACTCAATATATTATATAATCTTTGCCATATAAATGAATCACAATGGACTCTCCTCCTCTCAGAATAAAATTCTATTATTCCCAGTTTCCCAAAGAAAATATCAAGGCTCAAAATGCCTACAATAAGAGGTGGTAAGTGACAGGGCCAGGTGAAAAGAACAATTTTTCTAACTCATAGTTCAAAACCGGTTCCCCTTTTCTATGTACCCGTTTATATTAAAGTTATAAAGGAAAGAAAATTGTATTTGGGATTAACTAGATTGCCCATCAATAGAGATGTTCAGTTTAATATATTAAAATTGAATTAAACCCATTTTCCCTTATTATTCATTTCTGGGAAATAATGATATAGGTTATTTCCCTGAGCTTTCTATTTGAAATGACATGTGTGCCTTCAGACTAAAATTTTGGATGCAGAAGTAATCAGATAATAATTTAAACTTGCAACAGTACATTTAAAAAGTTCTTCAGAGTCTTTTAGTTGTCATTTATAAGTCTTATATGTCATTTATAAGACTTCAATATCTTATAGATTGTAATTGATAAACTGCCAGTTACTGTGCTAAATTCATTGCATATATCATATTTAATATTCATCAAAAAATTTAAGAATGGCACGAGAAATCCTGTTTCACAGATGACAAATATAGATCCAGAGAGACTAAGGATTGAAAGGTCACACAACTGCTTAGCCCCAGGGCCAGGATTTTACTAAATCTCCAGTCTAAAGCAAGGTTCTCTTCATTAAGTCACACTGCTCTTCTACAGAGCAATACTCAACATACCACCTCAACACTCCTAACTCAAAAGTCAGCCAGATATGAGTAGTCCCATTTTCTAGACAATTAACTGGTCACAGAAAAGTTAATCAAGCATCAACATTTATTTTATGATCACAATATGCAAATTAATATTTAGTTGCTGAGAAAACAGAGGATTTATTATACAACATCTTGACTCAATGAGCTTTGAATCTTAATAAGGTAACAAGAGAAACATAAAATGGTAATAAGTCACACGTGATAGCACATATGTACCAGGAGACACAGAGTCAATGACTAGTTAAAAAAAATCAAGAGAGAAAATTTATTCTGGGTGCTCCAATTTAGTTAAAATATCTTTACTAAAAAGGACTGGGGTTAAGATGATTTTCATAGGAAAGGTAGGGTTTGGATCACCAGAGGGGGTGAGGAAAAAATGATTCTAGCCAGAGGAGATCATATGACCAAAAACCAAGGGAGTAGATAAGATGCATTATCAAGAGAAAATAAATAGATGTGTTTGAAGGGCAGGAAGCATAGGAGGTGGGGTAAAGTGGCAAATGACACCAGAGAAGTAGACTGCAGAAACCCTTGTTAAATTAGCAATCCAAGGGAGGAGGGAAAGAATTGATATCATTGAACTGCCAGTATGTAGCACATGCTTTGTGTACACTTTTTGTTTATATAAACAACTCAACAGCCCGATAAGGTAGAAAGGTAAATATATATAACAGCCACTTTAAATAAAAGGAAACAGAGGTGATATGGCCAAGGCACAACTTTGTGTGTGGATGGAGCAGAATTCCAGTCTAGATCTATCTGCCTCCAAGGACTATGTTCCTTCCACTTTCCCTCACCACCGTCTACCAAAGGAAATGGGGAGCCACCAAAGGCACTTGATCAAGAGAAGAGAGTGGCATATAAAAAGGAGTATAAAGCTGAAAGAAGACTGACCTGACTGTGAGATATTAGCTGTGTTCAGTATCAGAGAATTGCAAAAGGAAGAAAATAATGCAAGAAAAGCCACTTAGTGTATTGCATTAACCCAATTAACAAAATCTATTTGAATGCAAGCATTGGAAATAAAAAGGATGCAAGATTTTAAAAGGAAATATAAAGAGATCGACAACAATATGTAAGTCCTCAAACAGGTAGTTTCTACTACCCAACCACACACCCAGAGGATAAATATTCCTCCTAAAAATTCACAGACAAGTCTACAGTCTAGCTTGAACATTTTAAAATTTGACAGTAGATGATTTATTTAAAAATAATAAAATCTATGGTTTAGAAAAAAAAATCTGCCTTAGTGCTACCTATCTCTTAAAGTACCATTGTGAATTACGAGAGCCTTACTTCTTACTTACCAGGCTTACTTCTCTTATACGAGTTTGGCCAATAGTTTATTGCCACATATGTTAACATGGACAGTAATTCTTTATATACATGCTTATTAGGCATACAAATTACTAATCAGATATTCTTTTCCTTTTTATTTTTCCTATTAGAAATTGAGCATATATTAAACAACTGAATTTTTCCTTCAGGATGCAATGTGTCATATACACGTGAACATTATTCCTTTCTGGGATTTAAATATAAGATATTACTCAAGGATTCAAATAAAAAACTAATCAAATTTAAATGGCATATTATTGAACCAGCCTGGTCTCTTCCGACTTTTTTCTTACCCATGGACAATCCAAACCATACACACAAAATTTATATTTTTACAGGAATTATTTGCATAAATACTCAGGCATGTAGTCAGACTAACACAAATCTTTTCCAGAAACTTAGCATTGCGAAGTCACCAAACCTGGCAATAACCAGGTAAACTATATAAATATTCGATTAGTGCCTACTGTTCAACTAATTTGTCTTAAATTAACTGTGAAACTAAACATCTCAATGATTATGAAACATACAAGCTGTAAATGTGGTCATTAAAATTTAACATATTGGCCAAACCCAATTTCTTTTCCCTTTTTGAATAAAGATATATATAGTTATTTTTCTGAGTAAAAAATTAATGTTTAAATTTGAAATCAAATTGTACCTTAATCAAAAAATTTAGACCTATATCTAGTGTATATCTGAAATGTCTGAAAATTTCAAGAATAACAAACTTGTACTGTATTTTAGAAATATCTTATGCATGTGTAAAGAAGTATCATTATAGAATTCTAAAAAGTGTATTTGTTAAAACTCAACCACTATATTCTTATACTTTTTATGTTCCTTATTTCTGTGTATCTGAACTGATATGAAAATATGATCAAATAAAGTAAATATACTATATAAGTATATCTGCTCAATAATACTAGACTTTAACATACTCTAAGTGTGAGAAAAGTTAGCCATTTGAAATAAATTAACTTAAAAACTATTCATGCAGAAACTCTAGGATCCAGATGACTTTAGGCATTCTATGAAAGATATGTTAAATACATTATGTGTGTATAAAAGGAATCACAGATAATGCTTTTTCATATATCTTTCTATTTTCTGTGATTTTATATACACAGTGATATATTCATACATAAAATATATTAAAATAGGAATATTACCCTTAACTTTTAAAGGCATTATTTTATGAGAGTTTTAAAAAAGGAAAACTATTTTTACCTCCCAGTCCTGGTCTAAGCCGATTATCGTAACCATCCAGAAGTCTGTCAAGAATTCTCGTAAAGATGGTAATGTTATTTTTAGCCTCATCTTCTTGGATGTTAGCCAGCACCAACCTAAACAGATAATTTTAAAAGCTGATATATATACATGTGTGTTTTGCAAATGCCAGAATGCTTTTCTTCCTTAATTTAAATTTTAGCACTCCCTGAGCTATTAGTACCACTCGTTTTCCTCCTTTTAAAATTGCTATAAATACCAGTATATCTGCAAAAATAGGTGAATATGAAGTTGAAATAGATTCTAAATAGAATATCAGAAGTTTGGTGTTAACATTATTTGAGATTCTTGCCCCTTTAAAATTTTATGTGGACTATTCATTTTCTTTCTAAATCTGTCTACTGGGGCATATTATGATCATAGATTGTCACATGCAAACACTATTAGTATTGCTATACTGCAGCTACAAAAGTCCAATTATCAAACAGACTGCTGAAATAACTGTTTTCAACATGAATTGGAAAATAAATTGCCTTTTTGGAGATAAATATATTTTCTATTTCTCTCATAAGTGTCTTTCTTTTTCTCTTTTAAATCGGGATTTTTTTCCTTACTTTGGGTATACCTCCACCCAATGGCCAAGTACAATATAGACATCAGGGAAACTCCACTGGCTATGTGCCAGGCAAAATGTAGCCAGGAGGTGGAGGTGGGCTATGAAAGCATCAGCAACACATACACAGCTGCAGAGAGCCTTAGAGCCTAGTTCTTCCTGATTGATTTCTGAGAAGAGCAATAAGGTGCAATGTAAATAATAAAATGCCTAGTTACTTTTTCTAAAATAATAAATTTGTAGAAAGGACAAATGGTCTTAAAATATAACCAGAAAAGATTTAGAAAATGTGATTTTCTCCATTATTTCTCCATCATAAAGCCAAACATCTGATTTTGTGACATGCAGCCATTTGTTGCAGAAGCAACTGAATGTATAAAACAGAATGTCCCTTTCCACTGCCATTTTTTTTTTCTCAGAATGAATCAGAGATTTAAATTACTGGCCCTGAAAAAGAATCATTTATATAATAGAATAAAATACTGGCATAAGCATTACTGCTCAAATATAGAACAGGAAACTAGTTGAGAGAAATATGTCTAAATACTGAGATTTTTAATGATTATTAATTGATCATGGATTGTCCACTCCTTTAAAATAAAATATTATATGTAATTACATTCTGATCAAGGTACATTGTATAAAATATTATGGAAAGTGTCAATTTGCATTTAAATAACTACAGAGCTAGTAGCTAAAACTAGTCATGATACATTAAAAACTGGCAACCAACTTCAAAGAAATATTGCCTTAAGAGCAGAGAAAATATTAAAATCTTGAAATGAAGATAAACATCTACAAATTAAATAAGTGCACCATTTTATACTCTCTGGCTTCAAAAGTTTCTATATTGCCCACTTAGGCTAATTTTACAACCAGTAACTAAGAAGTTCATAAAGTTCCACATAGAGATTTTCACTTAAAAGTGTTTTCTTAATCATATTTTATATTTTCTTTCTCAAATAAATATGTAGATGTTAAATTAGTAGATATTTTCCAAATGAAAACAAGGCTTTATAAGATAGATGGCCTCTCAATTCTAAGAAATGTTTTCATACTTTGATCATTGCTAGGACAATAAAATAAAAAGTTAAAAGAGAAATAAATGTGTCATAAAGACATTTGTTTTTTAAAAAATGGGTGGTTACAGGAATATTCTTATAAAATTTGTATATCATGTATTCTGGTATTTTGAAAATCATATCCTAAAGGCATTAAAGAAAAGGTGCCCACTGATGATGAAAATCAGGAAAGACTGCAACTAAGATGAAGTTACTGAAAGCAATAGAAATTAATTTCATGTTTTTAGAGGACAGGTGAAAGAAAATTCATTATATATTTTAAATAAGTACTCCTTCTGACTCTAAGCATTTGAGACAAAAAAGATCCTAATAATTTAAAAAGTTTATGATTAATAAATCTAGCTTTTGTTTTATTGTTTGTGATTGTGAAGTTGTATACTACCTCCACCTAGAGGTTTAAGACTCACACATCATTGGAGTTTTCTATGATGACTAAAGGAGCCATACCATTAAAAAAAGAAAAGAAAAAGGGAAAAAAATTAAGTTAACACTCAAATCACTTAGCTGGTACTTTTCTGTCAGCTTTGAAGGGAAACTTGGCTTCCTTACTGAATCCTGGTGTTATATTCTAAGTGCCTATACTAATCACTTCAATTCCTTGTAGTAATATATCATTAAAAGGATTTTCTTTTCTTCTGTGAATTTTCTGCATTGAAAATGTTTCTGTTTGCTTTTGGAGCTTATCACTAAGAACAAGAAGCAGTGAAGTTTTTACAGTCTACTACTTCATAGTGCACTTTCCCCATACACCCCCTTTTCTGAGATTCTTTAAAACACACTAGACTCTCAAAAGCTTTGATGGCGTACAAGAAACACACCTTTACCCTGAATTAACATAGTCAAATACAATAAATGTCTCACCTGGCAGGGTCCCACACCAAGAAAACAAAAAGCAGCAACTGCATGTTGTAGATGTTCAATTTTGTCTTCATCACCGCCGCTCTTTACAAAGCCATGGAAAGAAAAACAAATACACTTAAAATTGCCTTCAGTTCCACTATCGAAATATCCCCCCCCAAAATATCCCTTTAGTTAGGGATTCGAGTTAAAGCTATGGAGATTACTTCCTGGATTGTGTGTAGGATTTGATAATTGGGAGGAGATTTTTTCTGACCCCCCCCCCACACACACACATCCCACCTTTTTTCTTTCTTTTCTTTTCTTTCTTTTTTCTTTTCTTTTTTTTTAAGCAGCAAGATGACCAAGTAATCAGACTTCTCTCTGCCAGGAACGTCCCCCAGCCTCATCGTCAGCAAACACTGTTTTGCGCACACATGTAATAATAACACCCTGGACTTCAAACTGACATATGAGCTGGAAAGGGAACGGGTTGGAGGGGAGAGTAGGAAAGGAGAGGAGGGATGGGTACTTCACACCACAGCCCCCTCAACCAAGACCACCTCCGCAACCACAGCGGGAAAAGCTAGGGGCAGGCAGCCCACTTTTGCAATTATTCTTTTCATTACAGTGAACTGCGGTCCTCACGTCTCCGTTTCTTCACTCCTCATAACGAAATAAAATAATCTCCCTCCCTGCCCACCCACGGTTGCCCAAGACCATGTCTTGGAGGCAGCCGGGTTCGGATCAAGTGCTGCGAAACGATGCGTTTGACAGCTGCTCGGGAGCCGACGATCACAATAAGAGAATGAGCGTGAGGCTCGGGCAGCAAACACCAGGCAGGCAGGCAGACAGCGGTAACCTCGGCGTGCAAAGTTGAAGACTCGAAAAGAGCCAGGCTAGCGTGCTGCCTGCCGGGCGGGCGTCCTGGATGTTATTGTAGTCGCAAATAGGCTTCTGGGGATAAGTATCGAAATTATGTTTTAACTGCGCTGGGGAGGAGAACTGTGGGGGAATTGAGCCTCCCCCGTTTCCAGGGAGCCTCTGAAAGTGGGGTGGGGGGAAATGAGGATTGCACGCGAGGCACAGGCGAGAAAGGGTCCCTATCGGGACCAAGGTGTGCGACCCTACCTGAAACGGCGAGCAGAATTCGGTGTGCTCTTCCTTTTGCCCTGATCTTGACGAGATAGGAAACTTAGAGAGAGAGAGAGACTGACTGAGACTGCAGCAGCCGAGCGAGCGCGGAGCGATGGGCTGGTGGAAGCCAGAGCGCAGCGCGAGGAGCGGCGGCGGTGCGAGGTGTAGGAGACGAAGGCGTTCGTAGTGGCGGTGATGGGCGGAGGAGGAGGAAGAGGAGGAGGGGGAAAACGATGGCAGGAGCTGGGGCGGGGGGGAAATTGGGGGGACGCGGGCGGAGGCGCGTTGCGCGCCGGCGGTGGCGGGCACGAGCCCCGCGCCTGGAGGAGGAGGAGTCAGACCGGGTAGGAGGGCTAAGGAGGTTCCCGGGGACCCCCGCACACACTCTCCCCCGCCCAGATCCTTGGTAACTGACCGTCGCCCGCCTGGCACTAGCAGCGGCGCAGACCCGGGCGGCGTCGGGCTCCTGGGTGCGCTCGGAGCGCCGCTCCCCTCGCCCACGCCGCGCCGGAGGAGCGGAGCCCACGCGCCGCCCCGGGTTGCTCCCCGAGGCTGCTTGCTGGGGCTCCCGAGAGGCCACAAGGTTCCTGGGGAAGCTGCCGGTGGGTGTTGATGTGAAGTCGGGAATGCAGCGTGGCTGTGACGCCCTAGATCCCTGGGGCCGCGCCCAGCCGCCCGTCCCCCAACATCACCCTGCTGTGGAGCGACGTGGCTGCTAAGAGGTAAAGAGGTACCGCTCCCGCTGGAGGGCGAGGGACTAATCACGCCTTCACTTAGTCATCAGCGCATCCACGCAGGACCAAGTTCAAAGCATGTTGCGTGGAATTAGACAGCAGGAAGTTTCTTTGATTTCCTGAGCCCTCCTGATACACCATTCATTCCTTCACACTCCTGCAGTCAAGACCGATTTCCCCTCAAACCTCTGAGGGCTGGAGACTTCCCTTGAGCCAGTCAGTAAAGTCCATTTGCAGATTACACACACATCTTGGGAAACCTCCCGCTCACTTCCAGCAATCTTTTTTCTAACCTCTTTTCACAGGCGCGCTCCCTAGCAGGTGATCAAACTCAATCAACAGCTCCAGAAAGTTTACATTACCCCGTAGCAAATAGGGACCTGCTGTGCTTCTACTATCTCTGCAACTCCTTTTCCAGGGGGAGGAAAGGAAACAAGGTTTGAGGTTTTCCCCCTTTAGGGCTTTTTGCTGGCAAAGGGACTTGGAATTCCAGGCCAATCTTACACTTTCAGCATTGTGTGTTTGATCTGTCTCATTTCTGTTCTATTTTATCTGAGGCGATAAAATCCAAACGTGCAACTGAACAAAAAAATAAAAGAGAGACATTTTCCTTTTTGTACTGCACATAAAACAGAATGTTATGCACATTCTACTAAGGCAAAGCAGAGCCAGTGTTTATCTCTTCCAGAAGTTGTTATAAACGTTAGACACTTTAAAGGAAAAAGAGAGAGATAAGTATGCTGATATGTTTCTGTCATTTTACATTCAGAGTCAATATGTGCCAAACACTTCAATTTTGTTAGTTATGCACCAAAAATTCAGATGTTTTTCCTAGATGGTGCAGTTTTTCTAACAGGCACTGCTAATCTACAGTAAATTTTAGCTTTGCTTTGAAAATTATGGGAAGAGAGTAAAACCTTTACATTGTAAATATTTCCAGCTGTCCTTTTTAACCTATTAATTGCCATTTTCTGGATGAGCATTTAATATGCTACAACCTAAACAAACATTTGCTGTCTTATTCAGCTTGCTCTGTGAAGAATGGAACACCACCCAGCTCTCTCCTCCATCATTAATATTCTTTTCCTGACTTGCCCATTGCAGAGTCTAATTGAAATTCACCAAGATAAAAAGCATGCCATTTAAAAGCTTGCAACCAGAGAACCTTAGTGTCTTGGCATGAACAGTTCACTTCCTACTGTATTTTCCTATTTTCCATTTCTATGAGTTAATCTTCATTAAGATCTCTATCGCCTCTCCATTTGTGTTACTACTAAATTGTTGATATTTTGATAATGGAAGCTGAGCAGTACATGGTTTCTTTCCATAATTGCTATGCTCCAACAACATTTTTCTTTAATGAATGTCAAATTTTTGTAAATATATTTACATGTTATTCTCATATTTACATGGTCTTCTCCTGGATTCTGATATCAAATTCTAAATGTTAGTTTTAATTTTTTCATTCAACGTTGATATCAATGGGAATAATTTGTTTTGAGGAATTAGCTTTTCCCATTAGCACCCTCATTAAATGTGTAATTTCAATGACATATGACCCTTTTATATGACACTTCACAAAGTTCAAACTGCTTTGGATGATTTTCACCATTTCAGTTTTTTCTTTAAGTGTATATTAGTACATCCCACAGATTTAGGGATGCATTTACAGGAAAAAGACCCACTGTAAAAACTCAATTTAAAATGTTTATTATAAAACCTTGCTTTTAGTTCTCCCAAAGTGTCTTACAATTTTAAATGTTGGATAGCTGTGACTTAAACTTCAAAGCACATTAAAAGAAATCGAACTAGAAAAGTTGATTGTGGGCAGCAGATTTCTACCATATAGGCATATCTATACTGTTATTTTCCTGTATTACTAGCCCAGACAAAATTCTCTGGAAGTTTGAGGATTGTCCAGCTTCCTCAAATATCTGACAAACTCAGCCAGATTTTTCTTCTCTGCTCTTTGTGAGAGAGTGCAGGTTAACTGTCTGAGATCTGAGCCAGCCTGTGTGGGTCGTGACTAAGGTCTTCCTACCCACTCCTTTTGGAGCATGACTTAAGGCAACCAATCCTGAGGAAGAATTGACAACTAATTGGTTGCCAGTAAATCCATTTCTACCCAGTCTTGGGTAGCACAAAACCTTCTGTTTGGAGCCTGTTCGAATTACTGACCAACAAATTACGTTGGTGGGGTGGTCACTTGTTATATATTCCCCAGCCCCAACACTAAAATCCCTAGCAAAATTTCCACATAAAGACCAAGAATAAAAAAACAGCTGAAGAATTGGAAGATACTGGTTTTGTCTGATTTCTTATTAACTGATGTCTCACAATATTGTAAAATTTTAAGATTTGTTATAAAAACTGTTCATGTTCTTGAACAGATATTTTGCACAGCTTTCATTTTTAGGACCCAACCTAGCATTACTGCTATACAAATCTACTACTTTATATGCCCTAGGGGACTGTATTAATCTTAAGCTTTCTATAGAATGATACACGTATGTAAATATATATTACATCTCTATTTATTGTACACTTTTATGCATACATACATATATACAGATATGCTGATATAGCTGTAGATAAATGTATATCTGAACTAATAAAAATAGGCATGAGGATTTTAATAAGAATAGCATTTAAATATCACAATTCTACAAAATACATTTAATCTTACTACTGCATCAGTTGGATCATGATGGTTTTTACATGCTTTGAAGAGAAATATTATAATTACTTCAATAAGAATACCCTCTCACTATATTTAACTTTTTAAACTCTCAGTACATATTTTATATATTTATATATATTTTAACTACATACACTCCTATATGATTCATTCATTTGAATGAGAATGAAAATTTATGAAAAATTAGAAACTGAACCACTGATTATTCTGTTTTCAAACAATTAAATATTATCTCCTACTTTTCCCATTGAACGATTTACTGATTTCAAAATGGACCTGGAGTATAAGTCAGTTCTCATACATTCACCACATTACCAAAAGACAAAACAAAAAAACAAAACTGGTGCAAATTTTTAGTTGACAATTATCAAGTCAAAACCAGGACGTGGGCAAGCTCTACTTTCCCATATATTGCATTTAGGTGGAGAGTTAGGCCCCAAGATTCTGAAAGAAGAAACAGCTGTAAAGTGAAAATATCTAGTTTCACAAACAAATAATTCTAAAACTATTCTTTTCTATTAATGGATCTAGGTCACATTTCATTAGAGCTAAGTATATCATGTATATTAGCTTGAACAAACTATGCACATTAACTTCAAATATAATTAGTAACTGTTTGTAAAATAATTTTACAAATTATCATCCAACTTGCAAATAGAATATATCAAGTATTCAGGATATCCTGGTGGTTTCTGAGATTTTAAAAAATATTTACATTATGACACACATAAAAATTATTTGTAAGAAAATTATTTTGCCTTCCTTTTGTAAAATTGTAGGTAAAATTTATTTTTAGGTTAATGAATTGCTTCCTAAAACAAAGATAAAACTCTGGCAATTCAAACCAAAAATTCCCTGATTGAAAACTATGCATGTTAATGAAGTATAAGCGGCTACATGATCAGCAGCTTTGCCTGTGAGATATGTCCTTTAAATAATATTCATACTAATGACAATAATAAAAGGAAATCTGTAATATCTTCATTGGTATAACAGCTTAGATCCCATTCTAAATGCTTTGTATTAACAAATTTAATCTTCAAAAGTAAGAAGTTATTATTATTTCTATTTCAATGTTAAGAAAGTTTAGACACAGAAACATTAAGTTGACTCAAGTTCTCACAGTGGTGACGGAAAGGGTAGAGCCCTGACAATATGGTTCCAGAGTTTCCGTAACTACTATACTATTTGTAATAACACCTCATCATATGCAATTATTCAACAACGATAATAACAACAAGGAAATCAGAAAACAGAGGGAGTCCAGCACCTCATTTGAACCCATTTGTAAACACCTCAGGTGGGATAAGATTTGTACAACTGAAGGATTATTCCAATATCATTATTTATAGCATCAAAACTCTTGCATCTTGAGAGGAAAAGAGAGAACATATAGTGAAAAAATAAATGAAAAATATAATCAGGCTGTGGACATTTTATGGTCCGTCAGAGCGACATGAAAGAGAAAATAGAAACCAATTATTTCTAAGAAAAAGTGAATAATGCTATAGCAAATTAATTATGGATATCAAATCATTTTAAATATAGATCATTTCTCTTTGGTAGGGACTTTTTGTATCTGAGAGAGTGACTTTCTCATAGATGCCCAATAAATAATTGCTGATCCTTGTAAAGTTAAGCAATTTGGACTAAAAATTGAGAGCCTTAGTTACAGAGTTAATAATGGCCTGACCTTGGACAGTCTTCGCTATGACATATGCTGTTAACTC